GTTGTGCTGTTGCTTTCAACTGGTAATTCTTTGATGATCTTTCTGATCTTACAGCCTGGGAACCAGTATGTAAACTCATTTCTGCATTCATTTTCGTGAACACCCTCTTTGAAAAATGTGTGTAGGTCTCTCTGAAAGTAATGCTTCTTATTTATTTCCATGGAAACTGCAACAGATACAAAGAGCACAATGACACTATTTGGTAGAGCAAATTCTCAGCTACTGAACAGTGTTTTTCATTAGAATCATCACCATTAGATGAGCATTTTTGCCAGAATGATGAACAAGAGCCTGCATGCTGCGCTTGTTAAAATTTGCACCAGAGGAGGGACCCACTGTCCCTGTTGCCACTGCTGAAATACACCACCCATCACCTCACTGTGCTCACATCCACTGTTTGGTTTCCATCAACATTCAGCAAGCATCAGTGAATATCAACGGGTGCCATTTTTTTCTGCGTTGAGGAATTCAGTGACACACCTTTGCTTCATTCACACTTCCATGTCAGATGCCTTTCTGTCAGACTGTCCTTCTGCTGCCATCTGTCACATCGCAGCAAAATGTGATGGAATAGTGGCAGAAAGGTTCAGCCTCAACTGCCATGCCATGAACATCCAGCTTTGACACTGAGGGCCAACAAAATAAAATAGGAGGCATCACTTTCAGAGCAGCCCTCGTACCTTTCAACGCACCCATTTCTAATTCTGTGCCCCGAAGGAGACGAGCACAGGGCGTGGAAAAATATGGGAAACTGCAGGTGTTGGGGGAGTGCTCTCGGTGAAGGTTCCATCTCCCTTTGAGCCTGGGATTTGTCCGTCAGTGCAGGGGAAGGTGAGGGGAGTGTGTTAGGTAGCAATACTCCACGACCCGAGGAAAATTGAAACCCCGTAATTCAGAGTTAGCTGTGATTCCTGCTGTCGGGAGCACAGAGCTAAGTAAAGGTTAGATCTCTCCCATGTATTTTCATTCAGATTAATATTTAAGCCACGCTGGCGGTGCGTCCAGGAGAACAGTCGGTCCTTTTACAGCCACCAGCGGCGAGAGGCCGGGCTGCTGGAGCTCGCCCACCAGCTGTCTGAGCAGGGCGAGCGCCATGGTGCAGCTGGCCCTGCACCGTGCGTTTCCACTGCTCTCCCACTCCCGTGCTTGCTCGCCGGCCGCAGCTCCCGCCTTCCTTGCGGTGCCTGCTGCTGACAATGTATCTCTCCTCGACTGAGATTACTGCATGTGACCTACTTTGAAAATGGTGTGAACCAAGGTTCACAAATTATCTTGGAAGGATGCCACGAGGCTGGTGTACAAACATGCGCGGGCTGGGAGGCTGCTGTCAGAGCAGAACTGGCTGTCTCCGCGTCCTTCCAGATGCAGCGCGCGTTCCTCCGCCGGCCCCGGCTTCACAATTCATCTTTGTGCTCTCGAGTGCAGCATATTGATTTCCTGGGCAGGCCGCGAGGTTAGAGAGCCTCTGGCCAATGAGCCCTCGGTGCCTTCTGGCTCTCGGAGCAGCTGAAGTAGTAAGAGAGATGAATAAAGGTCTTTAGGTGGAGCTGTCAGCTGGAGCCTCGCAGCCGTAGTAGCTGTAGTAAAAGCAGCAGCAGTGGTATCAGAATACAAGTCACAAAGGAGAGAGAGCGGCGATACTTTATTTACACAGTTCATCTGTTTACTATAATCCGCTCGTTTGTAGTGTAATGTAAACTTGCAATTACCAAAGCTGCTTTCCATGCCAGACCAACGGTTTAACCTGCGTGTCATTCCAAAATGCTGATAGAGGAGAGAACGGAACTGCTGGGAGGATTGCAGCCTGAAAGCTGCACGCGTTTGATTTTCTCTTCTTTCCCTTCCTTATGTAAGCCCCGTGCCGCAGAGGAAAGTTTCCACAGGCTGAGAAGATCATCTGCAATCTCAAATCCACTTGAACGATAAGGTGTTTTTTTCCCCCAAGGCTAACATATTACATACGTACTCAGCGCAGGGCTGCCTGTTATCTGATAAGATAATTAGCATCAGACACTAGGAAAAGCGCATGTACTTTTAAAAAGCAGCATCGCTGAAGGCTCATAGAGAGAGTAAAAGAGCTTTTCCATGCAGAAGGCTTGCACTAGTCTTTGACTTTGGGTCAAGAAGTCCTTTATTAAATTAGCAATGCAAATGTGTTTTACTTTATTCATGTGGAATTTTAGTGTGTCGGACAGCCTCCCTCGCCAGCACTTTGGGGCTTTTTACAGATTTACTGTGGGCCAAAAGTTCCAGCTCTGATTATTTTTGTTTGTTTTACCTTCTGCAAAAACATCTGTTCTACATGGCTCTCCACCTTGGCTGTGGTTCAATTTCCACCCGCTTCCATGAACTCCATTAAGAAACCCCAGTGTAAGCCTGCCTTTGCACCAGGACCAGCTCATGACTTGAACACAGACTTGAGGCTTCCAAATGCCCTCAGCCACCCCTCCTGAAGCACCTGGCTGTGGGGAGCAACTGCCACCTTGCAGAAGCCATACCTTCTCCTCCAGCCTAACTGGCAGGCACGAGTCCTCAAAGCCACACTGGAGTAGTTTAAAAATAGGGAAAGCTGAAACAAAGACTTTCATCAGCTGTAAAACTGAGACAACGCTGATGCTTACCCTGCCTGATATGGTGTTGGCCAGTTGCTGAACAGCTACAGTGATCCAGGGTGGTCAAAGGGGAAGAAGGCAGGATATGAAACGAGAACTTGACATCTGACACTCATGAGTGCTGTTTGTGGAGCAGTTGGCCCGCAGGCAGGAACTCCTGTCTGAGCATGTCGGCTGCATCCTCTGCTGCAAACCCTGCTGGCCTGGCACTGTGGTAATACACAGCGTAACTGGGCTGATCCTGTGGCCTGGCAGAGTCTTTCGTAAGTCTCGACTGGGAGTGATTGTTTTACTGAAACATGTTAATAGACAAATAGTTTGCCCGTGAGTCGTTAGTTCTCACGTAGAAGGCACCAAGTTGTTTTTGGTGGTGGTTGCTTTATAATAGCACAGGATATGTGGGGCTTCCTGGGGCATGTTGCACCTCCCCACCAAAAACGTGGGGGCAGGACTCTGAAAAGTGCCCCGTGTCCTTGTCATGTGCATAGTTCTGTGTGACCTTCTGAGGCAGCTGAGGAAAATTAAGCCAAAGTTATTGGTGTTGTGATGGGGCTGACAGCAAAGAATTGGAGTTCTGAGCCTTCCTGAAGGGAACAGGGGTACCTGCATGCAGGTTATTGCAGATGGGAACATCATCTGCACAGGAAATGTTTCTCCTCAAGACATTTTTACAATTACTTGCAACGGAAGGAACAGCCACCGATGCAGGGAGGTGGTGAATTCTTCCCGTCCCTGATAAGTCCTCTTAGTCTGACACCCAACACGTCAGCTTCTCTAAGCACTCAGCAGTAAGTAAACAGATTGCAGACGGACCATAGTTGGAGCAGTACAAAACCAGGCACGGGGGAGGACTAGAGCAGAACAGGAAGACGTCCCGCGAGTGCTGGTAGCAGAAATGTTGCCTGACAGAAATACGGACATCAAGTGGAACTTGCCAAATACTCTGGTGTTACCAAAAGAGCTTCATAAATGTCAGTTGATGCTAGTCACCTTGTCACATTATGTGTGAGATGTCTCATTTCACAGCTTCTACTGAAACATCCCTGGCACTTAAGCTAAACTTGGAGAAGAATTGTGATGTAGTCTTCCAAATTTGATCAAATAGGTGTGGAAACAGGGTATTTGGATCATAATGGAGGTTATGACCTCCTGCTTTGATTTGAGTCTTCCATCATGGTTAATATGTGCTCTCATAAGATTCAGTCATCGACCTGTCTTTCGAAGAGCAATCCTCTAACTACCACCCAAACCTTTAGTGTCCTCTGCTAATTGAGTTGACAAAATTTAATCTCTAACATCAGCTGTGAGGCAGCCAGTAACTTGATCACTGAGGTTTCAGGAAAGCACAGGGTACTGAAACTGTCCTTGTAACTTCAATCTGTGGGAAGTGGTAGTAGCTTAATGATATGTTCTCTTGGTATTCTGTACTGTTGATCATCAAATGCTGCTAACCTGTGTGAAGAAACTGTGCACATCAGTGGAAGCCCCGTGAAATCATTCTCATCTTCCTTCTAAAACAGAGCTACACAAGTCACAAGGAGTAGCTGTCTTCTTCTTTTCAAGTCTTCATTTTTGGAAGCTGACAAGGTTTCTACTATACGCAGATAAAACTGGCTGCTGGGGAGACCACGGTGGTGAGCTGAAGAGCCTGCTCTTATACAGATGATATCTATGATTTCATATTCCTTACTGCAACCGTGGTAACTGCCATCCCAAGTCTTAGTGACTGTTTAAAGTTGGCACTGCACCGCAGAGCAAATGGCCCAAAAGGAACCAGGCAAGCCTAAGGTCTCAACTGTATGGATGTAGTTGTGCTAGCTTAAGACCAGTTTATTTGCAAGTATGAAATCAGATCCTCAGATGGTTTAAGCTTAAACCAAAACATGGTTTAACACTGAAATATGAAAATGCCCACTCTGTCTTTTATGTCAGCTCAGCTAAAAGGGAGTTTAAATGGAAACTAATATTAAACGAACGTAAATTTTCCTAGTAGTTGAGACTTAGGTGATGACTGTAGACGACAGCAGACAAGAAATCTATATTTCTGTAATTATTCCAAGTGCTGAGGGCTTCTGAAGCTTGTTACACTTTTGTGAACTTTTGGGCATCAGTACCTGCCCACAGAACAGGCACAGAAATAGGAAGGATCCATCTGTTCTGCAGGGACTGGGCTGCTGTCTGTACTCTCTTGCATGCAGCGCAGCTGCGATGGTACCTGTAAAATAATAACGGCATTTAAGATCAGTTACGCGGAGAAGGGGAACAAATGGCAGCAATCTTTACCATGCTCGTTGCCATAGACTTGTTGTTTGTGAATGCAATGTGTCTGTTGTTTATGATTGTCTCCCCATTTTCTTCTCTCTACTCCGCATGGAAGCTGTGCTCCGTTGTGTGGAGTTCAGGGTAAGTTTCCATTTTTGATCCTGGAAGGCTTCCAAGGAAGTGGCCTTCACTGATTCTGAGACTGGGCGTTCCTTTATGACCATGATCACATGCAAGTGCATTTCATAGAAGCAATGAAACTGTCAAGCTAGAGAAAGCAGCTTCTGGACACGCAGCTTTCCCAGAAGCTCTAAGCAGACCGAGGAAATGCCTTTCCGCAGTGAATAAGATGTCTGTAGACTCCGTCACTTTCAGAAAATGTCAAACTCCTGCTGGAAGTTACAGAAACACCCAAGTGCGTATGAAACCCTATAGGACTAATCAAGCTCTTTCTCCTGTGGGGTGCTAAGGAAGGAAAAGTGGGCTAGATGATTGTTGCTATTTTTACTTGCTTGGGAGCTGCTAAGCAATTGTAATAACGGGTGTCATAAATCACCACTTCACAGTGAACTGAGTCCTTAGAGAAATACAGGATAGGTATTCTGAGTGGCAGGCACTGCAGAGGAGAGGGCTCGCGCACTAGGATGGGAGACCGTATGGGTGAACCTAAATTTCTGCTCTCCCTGTTTGAATTGCTTTGCAGTACAAGCATAGCAGGAACCGCATTTGCAGTCTGCAAGAGTTTGGTAAAGGCATTCACACCTGCTACCTGAAGGGTGGTTCAGCAAAAGAAATTCAGAAGTTTATTCAGTGTATTTTTTTTTCCTCTTGCTGTTCCCAAAAAAAGAAGCTCATTCATATGCACTTGACAGTGAGAGGTACATTTTCAGTGCAGCGCAAGGTGACTTACCCACATTATTCCTAGGATCAGTGGCAGGAATGCTGCAGCAAAATCCTCATGCCAAAGCATGTAAAGTAACTATAGATGAATCCCGTGGCCTGTGGCAATGGGAATCCTGGTCAATGAATTTTGTGCTGAGTGCTGAAACAAATAAAATCCATGCCACAAATCTCCTGTCTGCAGCACTGTGATTCTCTCTATTTTAGATTCTGTGCAGACTTCTTCCTGGTGCATTGCATTAATATTAAATTAACAACACACTACTCACATGGAACTTACATTCTAAAAAAAGCTCACATTATGCTGTAAGCCTTTTATTACAAAATAATAGCAGTCGTGAGGTTAAAGTTTGTTCATACAGTTTTCTATAGAACATCTGTACATTTTTTATGCAGGATAAAAGCTACGTTCCATGTGTAGCTTAGTCATATGAATATAGATAATGAGTAGTTTATTGAATTTCCTTTTAGATTTTACCATTCACTTACATTCATCTGAAGCCTTTCCATGCAAAACATACCAGATTTTTGTAAGTGGTGCTTTCTTTTCAGAAACACTAATTTCTCTGTCAGTGTTCTGCAGGGAATGTGACCTGATATGAAAAGGACCTATTCCTCCAGGATTTAGCTTGTAGCTGGAGGCATAACTCAAAGATTATCTGAAGTGGATTGTAATCCACATTGGAGACAATAAAGAGAAATCGCTAGGTCCATATGGAGTGGGACCTTGAAAAGCTTTATGAGGACCACATTCGCTGGAATTGTTAGCCAGCATCCAAACCATGTGAGCCCACAAAAGCTTCAAAACCAAAATATTTCAGGGCTTTTGTGGCCTTCCATGATGCAGAAACTGGGCAGAATTTGTATTGAATCTGGCCCTAAATGAGCAAAAGAATTTTGTAATCAGTGTATGGTTGAACAGGAAGACAAAAAGATTCTTTTAATATTGGAGTGATATGGTGGGAATGTTTAGCCCTAGATACAATGCTGGCTGCTGAGCTCAGGAGAAATTTCCCTGCAAGCAAAACTAGCTGGGAATACAGGAAACTAGTAATTAATCTGAAGGGAAAAACATTATCTATTTTAATCTTTTTTTTTTTTTTTAAACTCTGTATACATAAGCCATACCTTACTTTTCAAATGCTGACCCTTTGTCTCACAAAAATGTTTTTAATGCTATAAACAGACTCCGTTGTTGAATGCTTATCCCTTTCTTGTCTTGTAGCAGCACTTTCAGTCATTGATAGGGAAGTCCTGGAAACAGAGCCAGAACTCCTTAATGCCATTCCAAACAGTAGGGACTATTAGAAAGCAATGTGTAGAAATTCTCAACCGATGGTATTTCAGCATCAAGCCTGGACCCTGAAACAGTTGCTTGCTGTATTGCCAAATGTCTTACAGATGAAAGCTTTGGTGTTATCGATATGAAACATGCAAATGGGTGACCATTGCATATCTAGTTTCAGGAGGGACTGCATCAAATTATGCTGTGAACTTGGTATCACTCTCGTGCTCTCCTCTGAGTCTTGGGCCATGGACAGAGTTAGCAGGAGAGACATTGTGACTGCAATTGTGGTTTCTCAAATTGAAATTTTGTTGTTGTGTTTTAAATGCAGAGATAGCGTGAAAAAAAAAGTGTCCGAAGAGTCATTAACCAACATCTCAGAGAGTTCTGCAGATCCAGATAACTGGATGGGTCTTATTTAGGGACCAGATGAGTGGATCTGAGCTCATTCCTTTAGCTTCAGAGTCTACCTGTAAGTGATGGTTTCACCCAGAGCAGTATATAAGCATTTCAATAAACAGGGCATGCACTGTGTAGCAAAATCAAAGCCATGCAGTAATAACTACCCTGCAGCTAAATGGATGCTTTTTCCACAAATGAATCCTTTGAGGGATGATGTAGTGTTTAGTCATTCATCTCCTTGTGACTTATTAAGACAATTAACAGGCAAAAAAGTGGTTATTTTGAGTGGCTTGGCTAAGGCTATACAGTGAAATTCAGGCAGAGTGAGTTTCTACCTCTGTTGGTAGCAGTGTGAAGTGGCCAGGGCTGCGGGTCTCCTCTTAGCTCCCCTTCTAACTTACTGTTTGACCTTGGAAAAATTCTCTGACTGTCTTGGGTTTTATGAACTTGAGACATGAATTGGCTTTTCTAGAAGATTTGCAGGGTCTTGGGGCAAACCTAGGCCTAGCTTTAGGGTTCAACCTGATGGGTTTATAATTTGAGAGCTGTGTACATGAGTTTTGAGGTTTTGACATGTAACCAGATGAAAACATAATGGTTCCAATTGAGTTTTGCTTTGAATTTTTGGGTTCAGCTGCACTCCTTGCTTAAAGGCAAGGCCTGAAGGTGGAGAAACTAACTGAAGAAAATACCGGTTAGGGGCTTCTAGGGGAAAACCAGATAGTTTCACTCCTTCTGATTGAAAATTAAAGGCCTGGCTGTATGTTTGACAGTGGATTTTAAACAGTGCAACTGCCTGTTTCCTGTTCCAGGAGGAGAATGTAAGAGAGGCGGGTGTGTAATGCTGGACACCTGCAGGATGCCTTGGACAGAGGATCTCTACATACAAACCTGGAAACATTATGAGCAGTAATGAAGGTTTTTACTTTCTTTGCCTTTCTTCTATTTCTTCCTTCCTAGCTACCCTTCATCCAAACAGCGCAGTGCAAACAAAACCTGCAGTCAATTTAACTGCAACGTATCTCAAGACTTGCAGGACTGGTCTTTTAACTTCCCTACCAGATGGCAAAGAGATACCATGTTAGTCTGCATGCACTGCATGTCCTTTGTCGAGGTTGCTGTGTTTGGCTCCTACTTTTGGTGACAGAACAAGAGGAAATGGTTTCAAGCTCAAAGAGGATAGATGTAGGTTAGATATAAGGAAAAAATCTTTTACAGTGAGGGCGCTGAGGCGCTGGAACAGGTTGCCCAGTGATGTGGTGGATGTCCCTTCCCTGGAGACTTTCAAGGCAAGGCTGGATACCTGGGCAACCTGGTTTAACTGTGCTGTCCCCATTCATTGCAGGGGAGTTGGACTAGATGGCCATCAGAGATCCCTTCCAGCACTAAGGATTCTGTGATTCTATGTTTCTATTTGCTAGATCCAAATGCCTCTTGCCTGGACATCAGCAATGCTTTTGATGTACAAGTCGTCCAAAGATTGAAAAGGCCAGTGGAGCCTGAAATCATCTCTAGTTTGTCAATGGCTGAAACTTGTTTTTGTGCTCTAGCGTTGTGGACACTCCAAACCATGCCTGCACACGCAAGTAAGGCAGATAGCTAAGTAATACAAATTCAGCAGAAGAGGCTTCTACAAACCATTGCTATAATCAGGCAGGGGCATCAAGGCTGAATGAGTGCACAAGCTCTGGGCTGCATGACACTGATGGCCAGTGCAGGACTCAGCGGCCCTTGTGGGCTGTGCCCCAACATGGCAATGACTGGGACCTACCCCGCTCCACAGCAGGCTGGAGAGAGCCTCAAGCCGGCATGGCTCAGGTCTGAGGCATGGATGGGGTTTGCTGAGGCACCTGGGGCCCAGCAGGTCCTGGGGGAGCACCCGGCCAGGATCAGAGGGGAGCTGTGGAGGGCAGAGTCTGGCACCAGGCTGCCTAACTTCATTCTAAAGCACTAACTGTGATTTTTATGGGGAGAGTTTGCTTGCCAGAAGTACAGCTCTTTTTATTTAGTGAAATATCCTTTGGAAAACTGTAAAATCATGACAGGTTTTCATATTTATTTTACATTCAGCTCAGGATTATACACGATCAGCTTTAGGGCCTTGTAGGAGCCAAGAGAATATAAAGGTTGTCAGAAAATTGGAAGCTTTATACCAGGCTGTTCTGATTTAACTGGCAGACCATTTAAAGTTGCTGAGATGTGGGGAGAAGGAGAGCTTTTCAGAAATGTCAGACTACTAAGAAGGGTGCTGCTCCTTCTGGCTGGCACCCATTCTCCAAAGCACTGACCTTGGCACCGGCAGGAGAATGGCAGCAGCATCTTTCTGTTCTATTTTGTTGTTATTGTTCTGAAGTTTCCCCCTCTCTGAATAGATAAGTTTCCCCCGGAGATGTAGTAGCATCTGGGCTTTCTTGCAGCTGAGCTGAAAACCGCTTGATTCCCTGAAATGAAGTGACAGCTTTTAGTCTTCCACAGGAACGTGTGAATGTATTCAGGTTCATTTATAACACACAGAGAAGAAAATTGATATTAGAGGGGAAAAGATAAAAAGGAAAGAGAAAAAAAATCTTTGAGGGCTTCATCTGCCCGGGCTGGGAAGTGGTATAACAGTAGTAGAATGCATCCCCACACTTGAGTCCACGTGAGCAGAGTAGCAATGAGGTACACACGCACACAGGCTGGGATCCTTGTCAACCAGTCAAATCCTTCCTTCATCCAGAGGTATTTTTCTCATTTCTGATAATAACTGCTGAAACTCGGGGCTAGTGCAACACACAAAGATAGCCTTTAATATACACAACGCGGATTACGTCGAACTGTGTCCAGTATACAATGACCACATTGTTTCCCTTCTTTTTTTCCACAAAAGTATAAAAGAGCATCATGCTACAGACAGCACATTTTAGTCTGAAGTGGAACTGGCAGAGGATTTCAATGGAAAGTTGATTTATTTCAAGGGATTATGGGAGTCCAGGGATAAAGCTGGCACCTGGCCACAGGGAGAGCCCTTGACCTAGAAGCAGGAACAGTTTTCAAAGCTGTGCATGTATATAACTGAGCAGAACGCTTTAATTTAGTGCAGAGCATAACCTGAATTCCTTCTCTGAGGGAAGATGAAAGAAACAGTTTTTACTTCTTAGTAGGACATTAGAAGCTCTTTGCCTATTTTACATCTTATTCCTCAGCATTGCAGGAAGCGATTGCTTGTGACAAAAAGGCCACTTTCTTCCCTTTGTAACTGGGGAAGTAAATTGAGCTGCCACTCATAAAGCTGACTGGATACAGGATTAATTTGCTTTTCCTGATAGATGCAGCAAGTTAACAGGCCACTGCAGGTTACTCTCTGAATCAACATATGAAACATAATTTCATTGTCTTTCCTTCCCTCTTCCTCCAGGCCTTGAGCTGTAATTATGAAGACTTCAAATCTCCCTAGTGACATCAGCTGGTTAAAAAAATTTGGATCACAGGAGTAATGTAACCCAGAGTCGGCTTTCTGCAGCATTGTTCACAGTCCAGAGAAAGTCATTCTATACAAAACAGTCTTCTGTAAGTATGGTCTATTAATTTTAGTGGTAATTTTTAGGAAGCTTCACATTGGGACCCATCTAGTCCATCGCTTTGACAGAAGGTACAGAGCGCTACAGCAACAGAATTAGTCTTTAAAACGATATTTTGGAGCATTTCACAGAGACCTGTATTAAATCAAACATGCCATAATAATTACATTTGCTAAAACTTCCTAAGCAGTAACAGGCTTCCAGCTCAGCTGCCCTTGAAATCAATCATAAACTCCAGCCGCTTAATTAAGTGCTTTATTCTGCAGCTCCCCGTCCGGCCAAACGTCTGCAGGCATCTGCAGGTATCTGACCTGAATCAAGGACTCCGGGTTTGAGTCCTGTGTTTCCAGACAGCGCGTCTGACTGATAGAGTAAAACTGCAAAATGCCAGATGGTTTCAACATATTACATAGCTCCCTGTATGGGCATCCAGCAACAGCGTGTGCCTTCCTGTAAAATTTCACATGCTGAAGCAACTTCTTGCAGTGTGGAGACAGCATGGCATCTGAAAACAAAGATTTGATGGTACTGGTGCTGCTCAGCCTCCTGTCAACTTCTGGACAGGGAAAAATTTTCAGCTGTTCTAAAATTAGAAGATAATGCATTGCTGGCTAGAATAGGGCATAGTCTGGGCAGGCTTCTTTGTTATCAGCTTCCTCATTGAACTTTAATCCCTGTTTTATGACCGTTCAGCTGTTTTGGGTTTCGCTTGCATCATGGGCACAGACTGCCAGCCCCGTTTGATTTGCATGGTGATTTTGCCACAGCATTCAAATGAGACTGATGAGTTCACCTCACCTGCTAGTCCCAGCAAACAGGGACTATGGGACCTTTCCGTCCCATGGTGTCCCTGGCTGAGAGCACAAGAGCTGCAGGGCAGCTAAGCGGAGGCTCTGCAAATCTGGATGGCTTAGGTGCCAGGCAGGGCTGCTTGGTGGTCTAGGAGGCAGGCAATGGGCTCCTTTCACCATGTTACCTAAAACAGTCTCAACTTTGGTCTCCTAACAGGCTAGGTAACAGGCTCTGTGGGTTTCCTGATAACTCTCACTGAAGTTCCCTGGATCTGTAGAGAAATGGGAAAGAGCTGCTAGGCCGGTTGGTGTGGCTTAGATTAGTGCTGGCACTGAGGAAGACCAGAGGAATGCATTTTCTTTAAAGGGTAAAAAATTGTAAATATTATTTCTTGGTGTGCTGAAAGCCTTTTGTGGCCAGGTTACCAGAGATGCTCCATGCGGACAGCTGAGCCTGAACTCACATTCAGTTTGTGCTGTGACTCCCCTTCTTGGCATTGGTACCAGTGAATTTGTAATCAAATACATGGCAGCTGCACCAGTGGGCCGACAGGGTCACTTTTAATTCATGTCTGTGGTTCGGTGGGGAAAATATAATTATGAAACCCCTTGGGAAATGGCTGTCTTGATGTGGCCAGGCATCTTACCCATAGCGAGTATTTATGCAGCATCTTCTTACTGACAAAAAAAACAAAACAAACAAACAAAAAAACCAACAAAAACAAGACAGAAGATTAGAAACACTTTGTTGCTTTTACACAGCAAGAAAACATGTAGCTGATTTTACTATGTTGCCCATAATCACTCCGTTCCCTATCTACTAATTATAGCAAAGAACAGCTGAACTCCAATGGCAGTAGTGTTAACCGAATAAAATTTTAGTTACTTCAGCTTCAGTGAATAATTTGTCTTCCTCAACTTGATTTACTAATATCTGAGTTGACAAGGCTCCCCATTCTGAGTATTCGTTTTATAGTTAGAGAGGGATTGTTTATAATTTACAGTTTTAAGTGTGAGCGCCATTATTTTGCGCTGTCAAATGGCATCTGTTATCGTACATAGCTCATCGTATGTCAGTGCCACAAAAAACAAAGCAAACCAGCCGTGGAAGCAGCCACTTTTATGAGTACCCTGCAACGTTCAGCAGTGTAAAGGCAACTTTATTTTGAAAGGGCTGGGGGCTTGTACAGTGGGTGAGCCTGTGTTATGTGTGGCATTCATTCATACCAGCCACATGGTTCAGGTTCAACGCTGTGCTACCCAGGATGGGGTAAAATCCAGTGTGAGATTTATTGGTAGGCATGAGGTTGTCTCCATACCAAGCTATCACTGCAGGCATCCCGAGGCTCTAACCACAGGCTTTCCAGGAGATATCTATGTATGTTCAGCCTCTGTAGTACAACTTTCAGGGAGACTGTAACTAGAAGATCTAAATAAGATATAACCATGTGGAGGCAAACTCCAGCAAAGCTGTCTTTGCCAGTACTGACAGGAGCAAGCCATTTCAAAGCATGCTGGAATGAATGTTGTTTACCTTGTGACAAAAAAAAACCAACAACCCCAAACCGCTTCAATGAACCCAAGCAAGAAACCTGTCTTTTAGGGTTGATTATGAATCTTTGTTTATTTTATGCTTGGTTATAAGTCCTCGTTTCATTTTGTTTGTTTGTTTACCTGCTGAGCACAGTAACACAGCAGTAAGAGAGGCTTCTCTTCACTCTCCCTTGCTGGAGAGGGCAGAGAGTCTCAGCAGTGCAGCTGCCACTGGGCAGTTCTGCTCTTGTTGGCCTAAATGGAACTGCACGAGGCTTTTCCAATTCTGGCAAGAGCACCTTTTTCCAGTCGTGCTATAGCTTTGAACTCATAGCATTGTACTGTTGCTATGATTATTCTTCTTTCTACAAAAACATCAGTTGCACCTTCACTGATCAAACCAAACCATGCACTGACGCATAGGTGCTTAACTGTGTTCTGCATGGGCTTCCCATGCAGCTAAAACTGTAGCCCAGCAAGCCTTGACAGAGCATTTTTTTCCAGGGTTAAGCTGATTGTCTACAGCTGTAATAGTAGCTCACGCTTATCTCAGCTGAGGCTGTGGATTCTCATCACTGTGAAAAATCAGGCCTTATGTTACCTGTTAAAGACCACACAGCTCGTCGGTGATGTGCGCTGTACTTTTTCCAGCTATTCATGGACTCGCCGACATAGAAGGTTTAGAAGAACATGAAGAAACATCTTTAAATGTCATAAAGTTTAAACAACAAAGGCTTGTGCATTGCTGGTTACATCAAGCGTTTATTGTTCCATTCTACTTCGCATTTCCTTTGATCTATTTTTAAGTCATTGCAAACTTTGTTAAAACCTACATTCCGCAATCTCTCCCTAGAAGGGTCCTTTTGACTTGGACTCACGTTTTGAGCTAGCAGCCTATTGCTTTTGTATCACTAAAATGCCAAGATTTTAATGGAATGCTTTATTAAGTTTCCAAATGCTTTTGGCCAGTAACAAGAAAAGTTCAGCTCAGTAGTTTTAATCTCAGAAACATCAAATCTGTATTCTCTGCATGCGTGAAGAGCCACGCAGCTCTTAAGAAGATTAAAGCTATAAATTCTAACATTACAGGGGCCAATGCTCTCACAGTCCAGATCAGGCCACGTTATTTTATGCAAGTTATTCCACATGTGAATATCCAGGACTATTGATAGCCTTTGGGTTTGCCCAGCCTTTTTTTCCTCTTGTTCTCAGGTATGCCATTTGAAGAAGGCGAATGCATTGCTTTTCCTTCTGTGCTACCTCTCTGCTTTGTTTTAATGCTAAGTGACAAATTATATCATTTTCATTATCAGCGCAGCTCGGAAAGCCATCTGTTACTCAAAGACATCAGGATCAGCAGTCAGCCACCTCAAAATAAGCAGCTGTAAATCTGGAGTGCCTATACTTTCTAAATGGAGAGAGGCTTTTACATTAATCTCCTGGACTTGCTGAGTAGCTGGTACCGTGCCCAAACGCAAGTAAACTCGATTAGTAAAAATAGACATGATGTGGCAGTTCAATACACGGCATTTAAGCGTGTGTCCTACAGACTACAACAAGTGTGCAGATCAGGCCCCAAAGAATGAGTTTCATACGTGTGATTCAGTTATTTTTGTGACTGCCAAATAGCTTGTGAAAAATGATGGAGAAGTTTTATTTCCAGCGAGGCAGTGGTGCTGCCATTGACAGGTGTCAGTGTGGGGATGCTCAGCTGACTGCTGCTGGGACTGTGAGTGTTCAGCCTCACTGAATAACAGCATTTTCAGCGGACGGTCGAGAGCCAGTATGCAAACCAGCTTCAGCATCCACATGTTGTACATATGGAGCATTACAAGGAATGAATGCTTCTAAGCAGATAAGAAACATTTGCAACAAGCAGACACTTCTGGGAGCTTTGTTCTATGTAGCAGAGCAAGCCTGGATTGACAAATTTGCAGCTTAAGCCTTATGGGAAAGTGTGCCTCTTTACCCCGGTAGCAGCGTGGCAGGCTACACCTCTTTTTCATGGCGAGCTGATCAAAGGGAAGTTATTCAAGTGCAAGTTGTGTGTATGGTGGCGCTGGGCTGAGCAGCAGCAGTGAGGCTGGGGCGTGGTGTGCTTGACCTTCAGGGCCTTTGTCTTCGGCTCCGTTCCCTTCCTGCGTCGGCCGGGTTTCAGGCAGGGGCGCGATGCAGAGAGGCCCTGTTTGTTTTCCGTGCATGCTATGATAGGCTGCTGTTGTGTCAGGACGTGCGGCGCGCAGGATAAAGCACCCTGCTTATTATAGCCTCGTTAAAAGGCCCGTCAGTATTTCCATTTCAAATTCCTATTTTCAGGGGTAGTTTACTACTGAGCCGTAACAAATTGCAGGCAGGAAACTTGGCAGTCGCATTCCCAGCCTAAGAGCAAATTCTTTTACCGGCTTTAAATAAATAAATTAATTAATATTAATGGCATGCGCTCCCTGCGTGCAGAATAGAGGAGGTTTTATTATTATTTGGTTTTGTCTTATCCTCGAAACAAAAGCTGAAGACGAAGGGGAGTATTTACGTTCCAAATGTCCCCGACCAGGAGTGCAGGAAGGGCCCAGGAGCAGTGCCACTGGGTGGTGGAGGCTGTCAGTGGGTGGGCACTGCTGGCAAATGGGCTCATCCTCCAGACAGAAATACCAGTATGGAAGGGACATTAATCAATGCTAACCAGAGATAAGGAGCCTAGGAGAGCAGAAGAAAGCATCATACATCACAAGTAGTTACACCGCCGACAAGCTACAGCTTGATAACCACGATGGGAGAGAGGGAAATTCCTTGAGGTTAGTTTAAAAAGGAACAAAAATCAAAACAAAGCAAAATAGCAACACCGCACAGTCGGAAGGGTTTGAAGGGGAATAACTAATAGCCAAAACATTCCCCTGGTAAATGTATTTTTGGTAGACTGTAGCAGTCCTGACTTTTATTATGCAGCTGGGGTTTTAAGTCCTGAAATAAGGAAAAAACAATTTTTTTTTTTTTTTTTGTCTGTTATCCAGACAGCAGAGATTTCAAGCTGGTAAATGCTCCCAGCTTACCTTTCTTTCCACTGAAGGTTAGAGCGCTATAAGGAGTCTGGGAACTGTTGACCATAAACTATCTGATTCCAATATGCCATTCAAGGAAAGTACAGCCACAGGAATAGCAGACTGAGAGAAAACAGTGTGCAGGATCTTAAGAAACCCACTGAAAATCTTGTCTAGTAAAAAGCATTAAAAATGCTAACATTTAGGAAGATGGGTGAATCCTAAGAATCATAGAATCACAAGGTTGGAAACGACCTGCCAGATCATCTGGTCCTACCCATTACCATTGGTACCACAAGCCACTACACCATTTCTTGTAGCTCCTCATCCAGACAAGAAGAAACAAGACAGTCAACAAGAAACCAGAGTAAGTAACATTTCTTCAAAGAACAAATAAAAGGGGCTAGGTTGCTGTTCTTGGAATTTCTTTTGTTTTGCTTTCGGGAAATTTTAATTTCATATGTTAAAATAAGAAAATGTTGTCATTTCTCCCTTGGGAAGATCTGCCTTTTTGCCCCACTGACCATATGGTATTTCTGAACAATCAGCTGGTGTTAAAAATCCAGTTGTTTCTTGAGAGAGAGCTATGTGTGATATGTGATATGTGTGTCTAACAGTGGAGTGTTTGAGAGCATCGTTCACTGTAGACACACAACCTGTGCCAACTGCCTGGGGAGGAAGCTTGGCCTCATCTGACTGCTGTGAGCATCTAGTTAAAACAGGAAAGGGGCATCGATCCTCATTTAGAGATCTGAGGGATTACTAGAATATGAACAGTGATCTTAGGAAATCACAGAAAAAGTAACTTCAATACAAAGGCTTTTATTTCTACGACAGAAATCATGCATGTATTGTGATCTCACTGGAGGGACCTTTAGTGTGCGCAAGGTTGAAATAAATATGTCCTGGTTCAGATAAGAGCTTTTGGAGGCCAGTCATGACTCTTGTACAAACAGAGCCTTTCAGGACTCTTGGGAAGCCCGCAGGCTCTCCCCCTGCAGTCTTCAGGATGATCGCTCCAGGCAGCTCCGAGGAACCGATCAGCTTGGCAGAGACTCAGGCTGAGCTGAAAGCTTCTGGGAGCATTCCTGGGAACCTCTGATACTGTGTAGAGACTCTAGTGAGAGACAACACAGGGGCTGGGATGCTTGCCCAGATTCTAAACTGTGCAGGAATTTCTTTACAGCTGATAAGTGGTGCCCAGGACCATGCGAAGAATATATGCTCTGTGAAAATAATGCAGGTCTCAGAGGTATCTCTGGGGTGTATGCGAGTGCATGCTACTCTGCAGTGGGGAGCTCTGTCTCCACTGCCCCCTCCTGCCACATGGCTTGTCTGTGTGAATTACTGAAGAACTGCTAGCTGTTTCCCACCCTCCCTGCTCACGTCCCCATCCCTCTTTATGATTTTAACCAGCAGAGGGAAACAGAGGGGTTCAAAAATTAGAGGGCTCAGGTATAATAAACAACGAAGGCTCTGCTGAGTTTATATCCTCCTATATAAGCATAAAAAGAGCTGGAGCCATAAAGCAGCAAGGGAGATAACACCTAGCAAATATGACTTCAGTTTGCAAGATTATAGCAGCGTATTAAGAAAATAAATCCAAAAACTAATAATGCATTAAATTAAATTAAAAAGTTAAATTATTAAATTAAAAAATCATCATGTATAAAAAGACCACAGGTATTGGTGGGGGGAGGGGGGTGGTAGTTTTATGTGCAACTCTCATGTTTGATTCCGGGCATAGCATTACTGCTGGGAAGGGACAGCTAAAAGGAGCAGTGCCCATAGAACAGAAGCAAAAGCACTGTGGGGTGGCAGAAGTGGTCAAAGCTGGCCATCTCTCTGGGCTAATTTATACTGCATTTACCGGCAGGCAAAGGGTGTTCATCCTTGCAGTTACTGCAGAGTAGTGAGTGTCCTGTAAAGCCACACCCTTGATTGCCTCACCATAACTTGTTCTCGAAGGCATACCCTCAAGCACGTAGTAAACTTTAAGTATGTGATTCAGAATCATTACGACAACAGGACAAGTTGTACACCTTAAAGCTGACACCACGTTTACACATCTCAGCTGACGATGGGCCAAACAAGGGAGAGAAACGACTTAATTTTTTCTGTCCTAACAAATGGGATTTATCGTGGAAAGAAAGGGGAGAGACAGATTAGATGGCATGAAAACCAATGGGTAATCCAACTTCTGTAGCATTTCAGACTTCTCAGACCTGAGCTGCATGTCAGCATGTGAAATAATCCCCTGAGGTTGCTGGGAGATGTCCTATCGCTTCAGATTTTTAACACCAGAGTAGGTTGGTTGACAGGGATAGTTTGTGAAATGGAAAGGGTTTCAGTCAGCCTGTGTTGCTCAACAAGTATGAAAAAAATGTAGATAGTATCCCGGTTTTATTTTTGTTTATACTGATGCTGTTTTCTTTTGTCCTTGATATGTGGAATTGTTGATTTTCTGAGTCCTTGGCTAAGCTTTTGGAAAAGGGGATAATGATGCTTGTAGTCCACTGTGTCATCACTGTTCTGCAAGATAACAGGTTAATTTTTATGGTCCCTATTTGACAGGCAGAAGAACAGAGGCAATGAAGGTGTGACAAAACTGAGACTGAGATGGAGAAAGACAAAACCAGGTTGGAGTTGTGTCACACGCAATGAAGTCTTCAGTAAAGTGGTTTGTGTAACAACAGCATAGACTAGGCCTTCCCAGCTTGGAAGAAGTACAACTAAAGGGGAGTAAGAGAGATGTCTGGGTAGCCTGGAGATTGTGGGTAAAGACTGGCCACTCTGACTCAGTGCAAGAGCCAGGAGCGTTGAATATAGCAGGAACAAACCTGTGCAATGCAACATAGTATGATGTGGATGCATCAGGTTTACATGAGCTCATGGGGAGACTGCACAAGTCTTGAAAGATAAATTTGTCAAGGTTTAGGCAGAAACCACATCCCGCTTGAGATGTCCCTGAGCTGAAAATAGCAGAAGGCTGGGGAATATGTAGAAGAAGTAGTATGTGGCTGCACTTGCCTGCTAAAGCATCTGCTTATGACCACTATTGTCTTATGGCCAGTGTATGGCCATTATGTCCTTTTGCACAAAGAAAACGAGGATATGAGCTGTAATAAATCTATAGCGAGGAACCATTTAAGAACTAGTATCTCTTGCATGGGAATAGCTTGTGATGAGATGTATGGAACTGCTGAGTCACAGCCTGAACCTCTGATTGACCACCTGAGGCGAGCACTGAGTCAGCCACAGGAGCACAGGTGAAGGCAATTCAGCTGTGTGCCGGAAGGGGGGGAGCCTGGCTGCACCTCTCCTAGACCTATTGAAGAGCTGGCTGCCAGTGGAGAAGGATCTCTGCTGGAGATCTGCTCTGCTGGAGTTTTGTGAGTGAGCCCAGGATACAGGTAAGCTTTCTGTCTCTTCTCTTTTTGTTATTGTTATCTGCTTTACCAAGCTCTCTTGTTTATTTCGTAATTATAACATCTTAATATTCATTGATTATACAGATGGCCCTGCCCCCAGGTGCCCAGCCCACTCTTTTGGCTATTCTTGACCCCAGGGCAGAATAATCCCAATGGTAGGAAGTGCAGACACAAGGGCTTGGGTTTTATTATTATGGGAGAAACCTTATGGCAAAAGACACATATGCTGGGAGAAGGCTGAAGATGTGCTTTGAGCAGATGTTCCTGATGTACTGGGATGCCTAGCGAAATTCCTGTTGAGAAGACTGTTTTTGCACTGCTGTGTTTTTTTTCTTGTAATTGCTATGTGCTGATAGACCTCCAGAGCTTTGAATAGGTGTCTATCGTTATGTGATATACAAATAAATAAGTGATATCATTTGAGGACAACATGAGAGCAGATGCAAGTTATGAAGGCAGGTGGAAATGGAAGCTCTCCATTGGAAAAAGTAGGCAGAGAAAGAGAGAGACATGATAAATCACTTTATCCAAGATGGGAACAATTATTATAGGAAGGCCTCTGCTGAAGGGTAAGAAAACATGAGACCCAGAACCAGGAAGATCTCTGAGGTGCTGCCTTCGTATAGTAAGAAGTCAAAGCAATGCAGGTTTAGTTTTGAACAAATCTACGTATGCTGAAATAATTCCAATTTAACCACTGATGACTTGTCACTTTTCTCAGGACATTTTTTTAAATTTCAGAGTTTGGAAGTTCCTTGGGACACCACATCCCTGCCACCCAGCAGCAGAAACTAGAAAAACACTACTTCAACTAACTTGTAATTGGATACAAGGTAAATGTTTACTGTGCTTACCTACCTTGTTAGGCAAAGGCTTGCAGGCTGAGGACTTCCTACCCTGCAAGCAATTGACTGTTCTGCCATGTCTGCAGTCCTTCTCTGCCTGAAAATTTTTCTATTGATAGTGACTATGGATTAAGTCTTAGAGGGTACTGCAATTGCTTCATCCCTTATTCAGCCTACTTAAATTTTTGTTTGATGTTTATGCACTAAGTCTTCATTAATGTGCTTAAAGTGGCTGCAGATTTGTGGCACACAATACCTTTTGAAAACAACAACAACAAAATATAACACATTCTCTTTTGGGCACAAGATACGTATATTTCAGGGCTATTGTTGACTGTGCTTTAGGTTACTAATGTTAGTTACTGACTTTCCTCTCACATTACTGTGAATAGATAGGTGCAAAGTAACTCTAGTCTTAGACATAAAGCAACTTACACGTATCTCTTGAAACCAAGGCAGGAGCCCAGATCTGCCAATGTTGTCTGAATTTTGTAAACTTCAGTTCTGAATATGCATGAAAGCTTTGGGGCCAAGGCCCTCGTGTGTCCTACTTTGTGGAGGGGTAGAGACAATGTGGGGAGAAAATAGCTGTTATTCATATGGTGCACTTTTCTCAACAAAAGATGTCATAAAGATTTTTAGCACATGGACAGAGTGTGAAGCCTTGGCAGCAGGATTAAGCATATTGCTTCTGCAAGTCTGTTAGGTTGCTGATCCAGGTAGGATGGATTTCTTCAATAGACCAGAGAAGCTCACTTGTAGCTGTCAAAGTACTGAGTTGTCAAAAATCTGTCTTATCAATTCCTGGGCCTGTTCAAACAGGTAAATAGCCCATTGAAGCCCCTTCTCCTCCCATGAACACTTGCACCACTTACCAAAACATGAATAGTATTGATGAGCGAGACTGTAACAGGCTTTAGAAACCTCACTGCCTTATATGGAGGAAGAACACTTTAAGAAAGGACAAGAGTTATTTCCCAATCCAAAGTGTTTACATGATAGATGCTAATCTAATCTATCTAGACCATAATGCCTGTAACAGAGGAAAAAAAACTGGCAAAGGAACTCCCAGATAAATCTCTGTACCAGGTATGGTTTAAAGGGACAACTCAAGTGGATTCTGACTGCTCCCTGCCAGAAGCGGAGAGCCCTCTCTGAGAAAGTGGCCAGTGAATTGTCCTTACAACTTTGCCTTCCTTTTGGTTGAATGTTAATCCTCATTAACAACGCTGCCTTGACGGTCCTGGAAGCCAAGAATTTTCCATGCGATGGAGCCTTCCCTCTGTTCCCTGCTGGTGGACTTTGACCCCAATATGAAGAGATCACTTCTAGGAAGGAGACAGCAGCTGAGGTTCTGCTCGCACCACCTGCAGGGTTAAGGGCAGTGTCAGAAGAGTTTTATGAAGACCACGATGTGGACAGAGACCTCTGACATCTGGACACTGTAGTCTGCAAAGCACCTAACAACCTATTGAGGTTATTACTGGGGACTGGAGCACCTCTCGTATGAGGACAGGCTGAGGGAGCTGGGCTTTTTCAGCCTGGAGAAATAAGAAGGCCTCATTTCAGTACCTAAAAGGAGCCTACAAACGGGAGGGGAATCAAGTCTTTGAAAGGATTGACAACCACAGGACAAGGGGAAATGGTTTTAAGTTGGGGGAGGGGAGATTTAGGTTTGATGTCAGGGGGAAATTCTTTACAGAGAGAGTGGTGAGGTGCTGGAACAGCTGCCCAGAGAGGTTGTGGATGCCCCGTCCTGGAGGATGAAGGCTGGGTTGGATGGGTCCTGTGCAGTCTGGTCTGGTATTAAATGGGGAGGTTGGTGGCCCTGCATGTGGCAGGGGGCTGGAGATTCGTGATCCTTGAGGTCCCTTCCAACCCTGTGATCCTGTGATTACTCGAGTGTGCCTAGACCAATTGAGCGCTTCTAGAGAAGCACTTAGCATTTTTATTTTCCACTGGTCACTGCTGGAACAGCATTTAGGGCTAGGTTTGGCTGTGGTCCATCCCAGAGCCACTACTGGTAGCTTAGCTGCTTTTACTTGTGCCTTAATGACATACAACTAACTGACAACATATTCAAAAGATGAAATCTGTCTCAATTTTAAGACTTCAGAGGAGTCATCAGGCTTTGTTACCTTGATGAATTGCTTTCTCTATTTAAAAAACAAAACCAACCAAACAAAAAAGCATCTTGTGTCACGTCTTCATTGAATGAGATATTTTCATTTTAAAGCTATTGAAGCTGTTGTTGTTTTAAAGGAGAACTTGACTGCTTCTTTATAAAAAAACAAGGCAATGATGAGGTACGCATTTTTTACCTTGATACCATATTATCTATCTGATAAGATATGACAAAAATGTTTTGTTCAGTGACCCTGCAGCCCATACAGAGGTGCAGTAAAGAAATCAATGACAGCCTTTCCTTTGAATTCACTTGCAAAGGACTTCAGCATTTTAGACCATAGAGTTTTCTCTTTGTGTCGAAGTGTAGTACTACATACTTGCTTAGTCTTCATGAATACTTGGCTCTGGCTTCACTAACTGTTAATTTGTCTGAGATAATTGTGGCTTTAAAGAGACAGCATTGGTTCTCCACTCCCATTTCCTTCCATCTGAAAACAATCCCAGCTAAGAGTTCTGGAGACCATCATCAACCTCCCTGTTCTGACAGGGATGCACTCATTTCTAGGCGAATACACGAAAAATGAAGATGTTAGTCATGCGTTATTGTGCTCACACAAGAGGCACTTCAAGTTAAAGAATACATTCTAAATATGTTATTGTTCAGGTCGTGTACATGTTTAACTTCCCAGAGGAAAGCATACCTTAATTAGCCAGCTGTAATCCAAATTACAGTTTCTCATTCGTTAAAGCTGTTAAAATACCTTAAATCAGCTGCCTATGTCTGAAATAACAATGAAAATAACTGCATTTGCAAAAGTTATCTGAATGCAAGCAGGCTATAAATAGAGAGGAGGTGGATTGGACAGTCTGCAGATCCTGAGTTGGAATAAAAACATCATACTTCAGCCAAAAACATGACAACCAATATTTTCTGTTATAAAAACATTTGAGATTAATTTAGTTTTTTTTATGAAAGCTGTCTGAGATTGAAATCAAGAGCGAAGTTCTCTATTTATTTACGAGCCAGCGCTGATACCTGAAGCATAAAGCAAGGCAACTTCAGAGCAATGCCAGCAAACTTTTGACTATATTGGGAAATCCTTCTTGCCATGGGATAACACTTGTCATCTGAGCAGATTGTATGACAGGTCTGTGAGGTGGATTACTACTGTCCACTAGAGGCTGTAATGAGACCAACAATGTCGTTTTATGACAAATTGAAGTCCTAGACTGTAATGATTGATAATTGTAAAATCACTGTTCGCATGCAGCGTGTCGTCAATCACTGGATTTCCCTGAATGTGGATGTTAAAAAAAAAAAAAAAATAATTCCAACTTATGTTACCTCTTATTTTCCAATTTTTTACAGATACTAATTACATAAAGCATGCGCATTGATGGCACGACATCAGTGCACTGAAAGACAGTTTCTCCTAGACAACGTGCCTCCTGCACGTCAAACTGATGACTGTCTTTTGGTCAAGAACGTGTTCAAGTGGGAGTCCGACCAGTTTCAGCATGTTACTGGCAGGAGGCACTGCTCGAGTGGGTTCCTGTGTCCGACTCACACTGTGGTGCTGGAGCCCCTATCTGCACGTACTGCACTGCCACAGTGCCTGTCTCCATTCTTAATGTCAGAACTGTCCTGGTCTGCAACTGTGTCTATTTTCTGAAGTAAATGACTTTCACCTCTGGCATACTTCTGTGCGTCTGGGTCAATAGACTGCAGTGCTGTGATAGACAGTGAGGGACCTTTGTCCTGGCCATGGCAGCACACGAGATCTTGCTCAGGTGCTGCTTCCCACCCTTGGTGCCCCTACCATGCTCACTGTTGGGGGAATGCTTTGAGCCCTGCCACAGGCCCTCAAAAGAGGAACTGCAGAGGCATAATGGCATCTTGTGATGTGGAAGCGCATCCTGCGCACCGGGCAATGCCAGCAAAGGCACTGTCCCCTTATCTCTGTTATGTAACCACCGTCAAAAGGAAGGTGAGTTTATGAACCCAATGTGGTTGCCTGCAGTTATGGCACTTCCCCAGGACATGAGCAGAGGCTGCCTTGCTGGGAAAAAATACTGCTTTGGTTTACAACTGACATGCTCTTCCAACTTTGAAGCAGAAACATGGACAAAGATTTAAAAGCCAGAGGCTGGTTCATGGCAGAAAGTGTGGGTCCTGCGGCAAACATCATGGCCACAGGCCGGAGGAACACACAAGCCTCTTACATGAGCCTGCCGCAGAAGGGAAAGTTGCCCAAAACTTGCTTCAGCATGAATGTGGCTTCTCTTCCACAGCGTGTGCCACACCTCTTGGCAAGGTGGAGGTTTGAGAGGGAAAGATTCCTTTCTCCTGAGGTAACAGGAGTACAACTGGAATAAAAAAGGTGGCAGGAGGAAGAATGCCGCGTCTGCAGAACAGAATGCAAAGGATGGGGTAGCAGCTTCTGCGGGGCCTTCGCTTGATTTCCAGCTGTCTCCGGCCTCTGCCTCTCTCCCATGGTTCCTTTCATTAAATCAACGAACCTTGCATTAGCTGGGTGAGGATATTTTTGCTGTCTGCCACATGGCCATAGATGCACCATCTCATTGCTGAGTGGCACATTTGTCCAGACATCCTGCTGGGGCCTGCTGCTGTCCCCAGAGCGCTCTGAAACAGGCAGTCGCTTTGGGTTATGTAGTGAACCTGATCTGGAGAGGTAAAAGTTGCATTGTTAAAATATCCTTATGCTCATAAAGCTGGTCTATATGACAGCACCAGCTCTCAGTCGAGAGCTGTGCAGATTAGCACATTCTCAAGGAAGTACGGAGGATGAGTACAGTCATTCATAGAAGGGACTGCTTTGCTGAGCTGCATGCTGACAGAGCCGTAGGGTCTTTCGCATCCATACTAATCCTAGTTCCAATGCTAAAACACGGTGTTACTACCTGTGGACGCACATGTACGCATTGGCACTAGAGACATCTGCTTGGAGCTCACAGCTGTACTGGGGGTGGATTGAAAGATGCTCAGCCAACAGCCTGCTCTGGACAGCCACAGCATAGGGAGCACGCAGGGTGCTCTCAGAACCCTTCTGGGGTGAGACCCAGGGTTGGGGGCTTATGCAGCATTTTGTGCGGTGACCCTGATGCCGAAGCAGAGCGAGCCGTTCCCTGTGCAGCAGTCGGGTTGCCAGCAAGCAGAGCAGACGCTGTCCTGTGGCTGTGTTCCTCCCATTCATTTATTCTGGGAGAGGCGGGCAGTGGTCTGCGCGCAGCCGGGAGAGACGAGCGAGGATCCTGCCGGAGCGTGTGCGAGGAGCGCAGCGGGAGCGAGTACCCAAACATGCGTGGTGCAGCCCTGCCTGCCTCGTAGTGCGGCGACGGAATGAGTCAGAGCCTCTTTGGTCTGAATGAAGTGGAAGGTACTCTCTACAAAGCGACTCGAGCATACGCCAAGGATCCGGAAAAATAAAACTAATTCAGAAAACGGGAGTGGGATGCGGGCTCCTGTTGTACAAAGCTTCACAGCTCTCCACGGCAAAACGCAATATGGCATCTTAAATAAAATCACCCTCCCCTGACTCTCACGGCGCTGCCTCCGAGCCGTCCCCGGCTCCCTGGCGCGCGTTTATTTCCTCCCTTAGCGACAGCCCGGCTTCGGCCGGCGCTCCCGCATCCCGCACGGCCGCCCCGCTCTCCTCTCCCCGCTCGGCAGCGCGCCGCTCCCGGTGCCCGCTGGTGCGGCTGTCGGCGCAGCGGGCGTCGGGGCGAGGAGCGGCCGGGCGGGGGGAGCGCAGAGGTGGGGAGGAAGGCGACTCGGCCCCAGGCGGCCTCCAAAGGGTTAAGGCCGCCGGCCCCGGCGGTGCTGCGCGTATGCAATAATCTGTGTGGCTCTCTTGGCCGCCTGCCAGAGTGCTGCCTTGCCTCCTCCTCCTCCTCCTCCTCCTCCTCCTCCTCCTCCTCCTCCTCCTCCTCCCCCCA